CTTCTCTCTCCCTCACTCACACACACACACACACACACACACACAGAGGGAAAACTAACAGTAGGCCCAGCACCTCCAACTTCTGCTTTCCCATCCCTCGTGAATGGCATGGCTTCGGATTTTTCATTGCATGCTGGGTACGCCACACTGCAGAGCAATCACCACGCCACTACAGCTGGCCTCCTGAATCATGCTATCCGCCTCCTGGCAAGCTTTTTCATGTCCCTTCTCTTATCCGCTGCGGCAGCTTGCGCTGCACCTGCAGCTCCTGAACCAGAGCCAGTTCCAGAGTTGACTCCAGTTGCAGCTGCGGTAGTCGTTGCTGCGCCAACAACCCAACTATAGGTGCTCTGTAACCTGAAGACAGAAAACCAAAAGAAAACAAGAAAAGAACAAAAACGAAAACGTCAGTGTGATATTTTTACTCAAATAGATGAATAGATTGAGAAACGGGATACGACTGGTGCACGATGTGCAAGCAGACGTGAAGATGGATGAACGGATGGATGGCTAGATGGGCAGACAGATGGACGCACGGATGGATGGTTAAATGGATAGACAGATGAGTAGACGGATGGATAAACAGATGGATAGAAATATGGCTTAACAGATGAATCGATAGACGGACATACGGAGCGACGCACGGATGGATGGATTGATGGATGGATGGACGTAGGGACAGACAGATTGGTGAAGGATGAATGACTAGATGGACATGGATTGGATGGATGGATGGATGGATGGACGCACCGATGGACACATAGATGAACCCAATGGATGGATAGGCGGATGGATGGACAGATGTGCAAAGGGATGAGTGACTAGAGGACGGATGGATGGATGGATGGATCGCTAGATGGACGGACACATGGACACATGGATGGAGGGATGGATGCACGGACGGATGGAAGGATGGAAGGATGGAAGGGTGGATGCATGGATGGATGGATGGCTAGATGGACGGACAGATGGACACAGGGATGGATGGATGAACAGATGGTTGCAAGGTGTGGCATACTGATACCACACGGGGGACAGTTAGGGCCCGGCTCTGCAGTAGACACGGGTTAAGCCTAGGTACCGGGTCCCGACGGTTCCCAGCTAGGTCCAGGTAAGCCTAGGGAACCGCCGGTTCAGATTAGAGTCCGGTAGGCCTAGTTTAGACCCACCAGACCCAACGGCTAGTTGAGTTTAGGCCAGGTACCGGTCCATTGGTAGGTCGGCGGCGCAGTTTTTAGGCGCCACTTTTCAGATTCAAATCGGATCTGTACCGTTGGGCCCGGTCAACGGTCCAGACCCAAAGGCACTCAGTAGGACTGAGGCCGACTCAGCACTATATCAGCTGAGTACCTGCCTCAGTCAGTAGGTTAGTGGCGAGGATGTTAGTCTACAGGATTAGCGCAGCGCTTCAGCGTTAGCAGCGGAGCAGCGAAGAGGATCAGCGCAGCGCGGAGGAGAGATAGGGCAGCGGCCGATTGGCGCAGCGGTGGAAGAGCGCCAGCCTCCAGCCCAGCCCGCGGCCCAGCGCCAGCCCTGCAGCGCCATAGCTGCCTCGCGCAGGTATCAGGGAGAAAGGCCCTGCCTTTCCTCCCTCTTCTTCCTCCTCCACTCTCTCTCTCTCTCTCTCTCCCTCCTACCCGCTAAGTCTATGTCTACTTCTGGGCTACCCTACTGGACCACTACGAGTATGAAGGGTGGTTACGAGTTCTGATGATGTGGGGATAGCAACATTGAGACTGCAGGTTGAGGACTACTTTGGGATCTGATTTCATCTACCTCTGGAAATGTACCCTGACATTGTGAGATCGATATCTGAGACACTGTGAGACTCTGTGTTCACGACATTTCGGATTTTCGGTACTTCTGATGTTTCGAGATACTATCTTTGGAAACATTGAGCTGACGTCATCTTCCCTCTCCTCCTCCCTTCGTCTCTCCTCCCCTCTATTCATCTGTGTATGAGAATTGACCCTGGCCTTTTCTTCTATGTCCAAGGCCAGGGCTTCACACCACCGATGTATGTTTGTGAAATTGTGAGTGTTCAGTTGCAGTCTGAGTCAGGTCTGGGTCAATCCATGTGTCTCTAGCATACTTGCGGCGCGCCAGTGTGGTGCGCCATGCGGTGCGGTGCGCCTTGCGCCGTGCGCGGATCTAAGATGCGAGCGCACGTGCGCACACCGCGCACAAAACGCGTACAGGTGCAGCACACCGTGCAGGGCGCGACTTTGCTGGTGCGCCGCTGGTGCGCGGGCCTTCTTTTTTTTNTTTTTTTTTTTTTTTTTTTTTTTTTTGTGTGTGTGTGTGTGTGTGTAGTGCAGGGAACTACTTCGCTGCGTCTGTAAACTTTGATCGAGGGCAGCGTTGCCCTCGAATGTATCCTTCGAACTGCCAGGCCAGATACATTCATGAGCAGCAGCAATTTCGAGGAGACAACACGGCCTGGATCCGCGTTCCCGCCCTCCAACCAAGTTTCCGCCCTGTATGGAGGGCAGTGTTGCCCCAAATGTATCCTACTCTACTATCAGGTCGCACAGAGTCATTATTGGCAGTGCCAGAAGAACGGCAAAAGACAACAGTTACTATGTATGTCTGGGAAAACAAAAGCAAAAAACAAAACAAAACAGACCGGGGCGTACCTCGTATCTCCTACTCACACTACCTTCTTCCCCCGAATACAACGTTCGGTCGTTATAGCTGTATTTGAGGTATAATTCCATCTAGATACAGCTATAATGACCGTACGTTGTATTCGAGGGAAGAATGTAGGACTTTTGGATGTATCTAATGGCAATGATGCCTGGAATCACGCCCGTAGCTGAGTCTAGAAGGGTCTTAGGGCGTTGCTGCACTACTCCAGAAATGCACAAAAGACAAAAATCTTGGCGATGTATCTTTACTTGTTCTAGGGGAATTCTCGTTTGCACATTTCGAGAGTGGCGAGAGTGGTGGAGCGAGGCCCATTGTCAGGAGTATCCGTTGCCCAAAAAAGGAGCCACGCCCCATGAGGATGTCACGAACGTTCACTCTCTTTTTTTTTTTTTTGGCAAAAGCACCAAGGAAACACAACTGTCAGTTCTGTCGTTTTCTATATCTGGAAGTAATGAGAGGAAAGCAACGGTTCCACAGACGTGTCCTCATCATGACTGTATTGGACCTCTGAAAGGACTCGGATACACTGAAGATAGCATGGAGTTGTGTACAGCAAACATGACAGCACAAGGAGTTTTTGGGCAGCGCGGCCCTGAAAAAAATTTGCGCGGTCGATGTCCAAATTTTGGCTGGGAGTGGGAACTTCGATTCACCCTCTCCCCAACTCTTTTTTTTTTTTTTTGGTTGAGCCCGAATTTTGCCTGTGCGCGAGCCACGTGCGCAATGCGCCGCATGTGCGCGGGTGGCGCGCACGGGATGCGCCGCAAGTATGATCTCAAGTCTTCCGCTGTATTTGTATGTACTCTGTATTATCTGGTCGGTTCTGGGAATCTGCGCCATACTTATGGCTGTGTTTCACGACTATGCAACAGTTTGGTATCGGAGCAGACCAGAATTGGATGACTCACCATTGATTAATTGATTGATTGATTATCTACACCTGTACTCTGTTATCATTAATCGCAAGTTGCAATTTTTTTTTCTGTTTCTTCTTCTTACATAGTTAATTAGGTCGTTTGAATTCCATTTTTAGGTTTGGCGGCTCTCTCCATAATGCGCACAATTAGGAAATCACTAATTACGATTAACCTAATTAGCACTAATTAGGGTTAGTCCTAACCTGGTCTACCGACCTATCAGGCTATGGGAAGCAAGTTCCAGACAGGCACCTCGCCAATTACGGCAAATCGTGCCTAGCACGGCCACATTCAACTGCAACTTCACGGAATTTTCACTTTTGCAAATCGCATCTTTGTTTTGCGACTAAAGATTGAATCTTTACAGCAAATGGTGTATCTTCCTACTACCATTGATCTTCTACTTACCTCATGACCTCGTAAGGATGCTGAATTCTCCCGATTAAATTTCATGAAATTATTTAATTAAATATTGCGAGGCCACTGCCTCTATGAGACCCATTCAGCCCCCATTTTGGAGCCAGTCGGCCACCCTAAGTGAAGGCAGGCTCGACGAGGCCCTCAGAGCCCTACTTTGGCCACTGCGCAACTAAGGAAATTCAGGCAGTTGCGCAGCGTCAGTTGGTTGGGAGAACCCAGGCCCTGGGCCGCTGTGGGAATGTATGGAAAGCAGGCCCTGGGCTGGATACGGGTACTGAGCCAAAGACATGACAAAGGCAGTTGGGCGCATGCAACCACCTCAGGCCCCAGGCCTGTTCTCGATCATGCTGGGCCTCAGGCTACCAGGGCCTACTGGAAGCTTCCTGGGACTGGACACAGGCAGGCCACTTCGATATAGCAAAGGGCCTGCCTCCACATTCATTTTTCGGGTGCTGGCTGCATGCTGCGCAAGCGTTGCTGCGCTATTTGCTGGCTGGCACTCACGCTCTCACGGGCGAGCAGGAAGGAGCGGGTGTGGCGCAGGGCGGTCCTTGGGTGCAAGTGGCATCTGTGTGTTGGGGAACGAGGTTGTGAGTGTGGCGAGAGACATACCTGGTGCTGGAAGCGTGAGACATTGGTCGCTGTATGCTCGTACTTCGGGAAAGCTGTTGTCGCCATCATTCCGCATTGTAGTCTAGGATAGATAGGATCTGCCATCTGTAGTCTGGGCGCCGAGTGCCAGATAGGATATCAACATTTGATCTTCATTGATGATGATGATGACGAGACATTACCAGCATTGTCAATTTTAAGCTCTTGGTGTCTTCTTATTTGGTGAAACTCGTGATGCAATTCTGCTATTGGTTCGAGGTCACCACTATCTAGTCTTGTGAATATGATGCTGTTTGATTGCTGAAGTTCGCTATTGCTCATCTTCCTTGCAATTTGGTATCAGAGCTATGGTACGATTGCGCTCATCTGGCGCTTGTCTTCTGCCTAATGTGGTACATACATGCAGTCTGCTTGGTGAGTTGGATCGTAAGTGGTGTGTAGTGAGGAGGGCGGAGGCGAGTGAGTGGCGACCCAGGAGGTGAGGGGATCGCCAGGAAGGCTACGAGGGGTAATGTGGTCTGGACAGTGTGATGAGAACTATCTAATGTGCGATTGATGCTGAGGTGGAACGGAGAGATAATGCCGGTTGTACCGATGCAGTGACTGCAATCGCCATCAGGTCATCTGGTGAGAATATCTCTGTGGTTGGGAGCAGCTATTTGAGGTACGTTGCTCTTATCCTTATCTACCCTCTTTGGCACTTCTTACCGTGAGGTTGTGTGTTCCTTCTTGCGTGTCCTCATTGTGAGGTGTCGAGTG